TTCAGGACTGGACTATAAATAATGTATTTTTCTTTTTATTAGATGATGGACTATCTGCTTCAAGTTGTGAATATGAAAGAGAGCGCTCCAAGCTGAAAGAAGATCACTAAATCATGAAGAAATCGAATACTTTCTGTAAGAGACTATATTTCACAAGCACTTGATTGTATCAGATAATCAACACGGTCACTTTTCTGTACACAAGAATTCCTTTGTGTAAAGTACTTAAATACACATATTCTTGTATGGTTCAGCAAGGACTAAATCCTCTACTTCATTTTCAAGGTTGCATTTTCTCATTTGAATGGCTTTGATATATATATATATATATAAAATTGTCACGGAAGGGTCTTCCAATTAATTATATTACTTACCTATCGAATAATTTCATCTCTTAGTTTGAAACTACATGACATTGCAACATTCGCAATAAATAGTAACAAGAAAAAGGTGGAGTTTATGCTTTTATTTGAGTTAAGCAGTGAAATTCGCTGTGTAAAAGCCAGTAGCAAAGGCCACTGCCTTCCCCGGGACAGCGCGTGTGTTGTACTTCCAGCCGCTCTGCCGGGAGCCTCCGTGCCCCGTGTGTGCCCGGGGATGGCGCTGTCCCCGCCGGGAGGGAGCCTCCGTGCCCGGTGTGTGCCCGGGGATGGCGCTGTCCCCGCCGGGAGGGAGCCTCCGTGCCCCGTGTGTGCCCGGGGATGGCGCTGTCCCCGCCGGGAGGGAGCCTCCGTGCCCGGTGTGTGCCCGGGGATGGCGCTGTCCCGGCCGGGAGGGAGCCTCCGTGCCCCGTGTGTCCCCGCCGCCCCGGCCCGCGCCGGCAGCTCCGCTGTGCCCGGGGGCGGAACCCGCCCGCTCCGCGCGCCGGCCTCCTGCTGCCGCCGCGGCCGGCAGGGGGCGCCCTCGGCCCGGCCGTGAGGGGAGCGCTCCGGTGAGCCCCGGGACCGGCTGAGCCCCGGCCGTGAGGTGAGCGCTCCGGTGAGCCCCGGGACCGGCTGAGCCCCCTCCGTGAGGGGAGCGCTGCGGTGAGCCCCGGGACCGGCTGAGCCCCGGCCGTGAGGGGAGCGCTCCGGTGAGCCCCGGGACCGGCTGAGCCCCCTCCGTGAGGTGAGCGCTGCGGTGAGCCCCGGGACCGGCTGAGCCCCGGCGTGCAGGGTGTCCCGGTGCGCTCCGGTGCCCGGTGAGCCCCGTGGCTGCGGCTGTTTGCCGTATCTCAGTCGCACCACACTGCCCGGCTCCGCAATCCCAATCTTTAAGGGGCAGAAGAGTCATATGACACAGGGATGACTGCCAAATGTCAGCCAGTTTTAACATAATGTCTTAGCAGAACACAGAGGTGCTCAGAGGGGGGACATGGTATTAATTCTACTAGAGAGACTGGTAGTATCAGCGTTCTAGTCCAACGAGCTTTTGGGTTCGCTTTGTTTGTTTGTTTGTTTGTGTTTTTGTTTGGCTTTTTGTTGTTTGTGGGGGGGTGTTAGTTTGTTTTGGGGTTTTGGGGGTTTTTTGTTTGTTTGGGGTTTTTTGTTTCATTGTTTGGTTGGGGTTTTTTTTTTTTTTTTTTTTTTTTTTTTTTTTTTTTTTTGTTTTTTTGTTTTTTGTTTTTGTTTTGTTCCACTATTTTCTCCAATGCTAGCATTTTGCGGGTGGGTACTCTGTGGCTGACAAACTACTGAAGGAAATCCCAAGGTTTATAGCAGCGACAAAGGAGGACGGCTTACTGCATAGAAGAGAGAAACTGAAACACTGTAGCTGAAGGGAACCCCCTTGAATTAACACTTGTTCATAGTACCTCCCTAGAGATGAGGAAAGATGTAACGAGGAGCTTTGAGCTGTTACTTGAGATGTTGCAATAGTAAGAAACTGAATGTCCATAATTGAAATGGCTGTAGATGTAGCCAGGGCAGATGGAAATAAGATCGTTGAACTTTCTGCGCAGAGGAAGGGAACAGTACTGCCCTCAACCCCAGCAGCTAATAGCAGAAATTCAAACTATGGCTGAGCAGCGCATGTTTTCATGTCACAGGGGCTGTGAGCTACCATGGCAGTAGCACACACAACAGCCATCCTGCTGCTCCGGAGGGAATGACAGCTTCCAAACCATCCAGCAGGGACTGAGGGTCCGTCCTGCACACAGAGACAGTCCTGCTCCACCGGGAAGCCAACGAGCTGAACCTCAAGTCAAAATTAAAGAGCTCAGGCATCTGCTCGTTTTCTTGAATTTTGAGAGGATTTTGAGCAGGGATAGAGAGAAGGAAGGGAGACCAGAATACACTCTTGAGAACAAATTCCATTATGGCATTTTCCTCACAATTACTCATTCTCTGGCAGTCTTTTTCTGTATTATTCTTCCTTATAACTTCAGGTGTTGAAAAGAAGTCAAGTATGGACACTAAAAATACTACGTTGCTAATACAGTTTGAGCAAAAGAAGACACAGACCACTCAGAAGGCCATGCTAATAGCCTTAGCAAAGTTAGAGTAAAGAAGTGGTTAAGGATCTAGATGATTTAATCCAGTTTTAAGAAAAGGTTTTACAGTGAGCAATTAGATGCTGTTTAAGGAATTAATCGCTAATGGGTCATTAACTCTGACTGGTATTGTACAGTTAACAAGCCGAGGCAGGATTATTAGACTCAGCACCCAATTAAGGAGGAGAAGATATTTACAACAAAATGAACAAATGGGCTTTTAAAATGGAATGGGACAATTTGAAAGAAAGTGTAGGAACACAGAAAACTAGACAGGCTAGAAGAAAGATGCGTTTGCATATCCCTCTGTCTCTTTATTTGCCCACTTCTGTGTAGCTGGTAAAATATTCATTTTTAGCAATAAACTCGCAGCTTTCCTTGAAGGATATGACTGCACAAAGTCGATCCATTTACAGGGTTCACCTGTACAAGGTATAACAAACACTTGTTTAATATGCCAATAAAAGAACGATCACCATATCTTGCCATAATCTTTATTTGTTTGCAGGCGCTGGATCAGGGCCTTATTAAAAGTGAGCAGGTGTCTTCAGCTGCTACTTCTGCTGCCCTGTCGTTGTGGTTTTATCTACTGCCACTCTTCGACTATCTCAAGTAACCAAGCATCAGCGCTGGTGACAGCTGATCAGGAATTAGAGGGCTTCTTTCCAATGGCTTCACAGGATACAGAAGAACTGTAGGTAAGAGAAAGGGAGAGTAGTAATGCCAAAATACGGGAAAGCACTATTGAAATCTTGGGGAGTTGCTTATTAACCATGAGCAATAAGCACAGGTGAGAACTTTAGGGCAGCAATTTAATGTGCTTGCCTGCAGGAGGGTTTTCAGCTTCAGAGCCACAGCTGGACTACAGCCAAGTAATGATAAGTGAGATTGTTCCTACCCTGAGAAGGAGGAGTGTGGAGAGCCTGTGCAGTCACTCATTAGTGTGTGTCTCTTGCTGACATAAACCCGGCTATGCAGGCACTTCTCAAGCACACCAAGAGAAATCCTTCTCTTGCAGTCACTAAAAATGCCATGCCTTCTTGCAACTGGTGATGCAAGCAAAGCTTACCTGTGAAAGGACCACTAGAATAAGACCTAAAAACTGAAGCAATATGATTTTTCTTCTCCTTTAGGTGTCCTTACTAGAAGTTAGCAAAATACCTCCCTGTTCCTGACAGCAATGGCAGTTATTTTCCTGGCAGCACTTCCTCTCTCTGCCAAGGAAGCAAAGAGATGTGGGCTGGGGAAGGGTGGGCACCGCCACAAATGCACACACAGTAGAACTGTCAAGTCCAGAGCCCAGCAGGACAGTCTCCCCCAGCAGGGCTTCATTCCCCTCAAATTCAGGGGGGACCACTTACTTGGCTTCCTGCATGCCCTGGACCAGCACAGCTCAGGGAAGGGAAGCTGGGGGTCCTGAACAGTGTGTGCTTTGGTCCAGCGAGGCAGGTTGGATCTGCAGGGAGGCTGGGGACAGAGGAAAAGGCGTTTGAAAACAAGAAGGATTCCTATTATCTGTAAAAGAAGCTCTCCATACAATAGATGGGGACTGCTGTGGAGAAAGCTATGAAGGGATGTTTAGAAACTGCTGTCTGAGGTTAAAAAGCTCTCTGAAGTGAAGCTGAACAAGGCTGACATACTTGTTTCTGACTGGACTCTTAAAAGATACGCACAGATTGTGAAAATATAATTAGACGCCAGCCTTTGTCTGGCCACAACGAGTGGGAAATGGTGAAAGGAGAGGTCTCCCAGTCTGCATTGAATCATCCCCAGGACACAATGAGGGCACTTGTGCATCCTTCTCTCTTCCCTAATGAGAAACATTAATTGCCACAACCTCCCGAGTGTGTAGAGCACCCCATGCCCAGCAGAGGAGAAGGGGTGTTTCATTACAGCTTCTCAGCCCCATTACAGGCAGTAACAGAGATAATGAAAAATAAAGATGCCGCAGTTTTAGTTCAGGCAGCCTGGCGATGGGCACTGGGTGGGCAGGGGAGCAGGCATGGCCCAGCTCTGTGCCAGCCTCCAGGGGCTATCCTGGGCAGCCAGAGTGGGCAGGATGAGCCTGCCAGGCCCCAGCCAGGTGTCAGTGTCCAACCAGAGGCTGTCTGTCTCTCCCTGTGGGCAGCTGGGCTGCACGGGGCAAGAGCCCTGGGGGTCCTGCCATTCCCCTTCTTTGCAGAGGCAAGGACTGTCACTGACTCTGGCCTGCAGAGCCTACCTGAGCCTGGCACTGTTCCACAAGGGCAATTGTGGGAGTGGTGTGCCTGGCCCAAGGACTGCAAGGGTTCCAGCCCCGCTGTGCCCACTCCCATCTGGGCACACTCTCCATCATGGGGATGCAGGCCCCAGTGCCACAGCCAGCTTGGGCAGTGTTCTGCTGATGGAGAACAGAGAAGAGCCCACAGCCAGGCATCTCCCACCCCTCTGTACATCACATGGAGCAGAGGGTCCAGCCCAAGATGCCCATTTGGGTTCAGAAACATGATACACAGCCTCCATGCAGAATGTGCCATTTAATGGTGTAAAAGTAGAACCCCCTCCCCAGGTACAGCAGTCCTGAGCTCCCAGCCACCTTACATAGCTCTTTGCCCTGCTGTAGCTTTTATTGCAACTAAAGCATCCAGCCAAGGAGGGAGAGCAAAAGAGATTGTTTTTCCTAAGCTATGATCAGGCCCCTAACTCTTCAGGTGTTGTGGAAAAGGGAATTAAAAGGACCACAAAATACAAAAGCAAGTCAAGGCGTAGGGGAAAGGCGGGTGTAAGGGACAGCCCTCCTGTGCCTGGCCATCCATCCGTGGCAGCCAAGGCAGGGTAAGGGTGCCCCTCAGGCGTTCTGGGATGCGTCTTCCCCATGGCTTTCTCCCAGCTGCTGAGAGGGAGTTCAGATTGTCTGCCAGGGCTTGCCAATGGACTGGATGTGCTCCTTGGCCTTCAGCCGCAGGGCGGCAATGCTGGTGTTGCGTGGGTCTGCCTCATCCAAAGGGAACTTGTCCACAAAGGTGGCTCCACACTGATAAGGCGGTGGTGGCCCCATGGCCCCCAGAGGCTGCAGCGCGTGGGTCACTGCTGGAGAGTTCAGGAAGGGCGGCGGCGTGTAGCTGCCGGGCAGGCTCTGCGGCGAGGCCACAAAGCCAGGCAGGGTCTGCAGGGCCGTGCTGCTGGGCACCGGTGGGCTGAGCCACGTCTCCAGGGGCAGGCTGCTGCTCAGAGGACCCATGGGTGCTGCCTGCGGTGAGCGGTTGAATGAGAGGATGGGCGAGTCCTGCAGCTTCATGGAGGTCACCTCCAGTTTCTCCTGCCGCCTCCACTTAGCCCTTCTGTTCTGAAACCAAACCTGCAAGCAGAGCTGTATCAGCCAGGCCCCAGGCAGTGGAAAGAGCTTCACCTCTGGCTGCAGTGGCACACGCAAAACGGAGTGAGGGAAACACGCCTTGCCGACCTGGGGCAAAAGGGAATTTGGGGGGCTCGAGCGTTCCTCCACGACCCACAGCCCCGGCTCGGTGGAAAGCAGTCCCTCAGTGGAGCTGGCCCGCCCATCCACCCGCCACTGCCCTGGCACGCAGCAGATTCAGCAGCCCCGGGCTGGGACACGCCGCTCAAAGGGCAGCAGCACCGACGACGCGGCTGCCGGACGCAGGTCTGCCCGAGCCCCGCGCTGTCCCGCCGGCCGGGCCGGCGCGCGGCTGTGCGGCAGCCGTGTCCAGCGCTCCAGCGGGGCCCCGAGTGTGGCCGGAGCCGTGCTGCGGTTACGGGCCCGCGCGCCGCACCGGGGCTGCTCCGGTCACCGGGACCACGGGGCTGCGCCGAGGCGCGTCGGGCCGGGCCGTGTGTGGCTTCCCGGCGCCGGGGACCGTCGGGGCCCGGCCGTCGCGGGGGGCCGGGCCGGGCGTTACCTGGACGCGGACTTCGGGCAGATTGACCTTCATGGCCAGCTCCTCGCGGCTGTACACGTCGGGGTAGTGGGATTTCTCAAAGGCACGCTCCAACTCGTGAAGCTGGTACGTGGTGAAGGTGGTGCGGTTTCGCCGGTGTTTCTTCTTGGGCTGTTCCTCTTCCGACGGCTTCCCCTCGCCGCTGCTGCCAGCGGGCAACTCGGGGCTGGCGCTGCCGGGACAGTACGGCTCTGCGAGGGGAAGACGGGGGGTCACCGGCGGGATCTCCCCGCGGGGCTTGCCAGGGGGCGTGGGGGAAAGGCGCCCACCCGTCCGCCCCCCGGTACCCGGCGTTCGTCCACAGCGCTCACCTTGGAAGCGCTCAGCGCGGCCCTGGGGCTCGGCCGGCGGCTGCTCTCCGGGCATCTTGGGCAGGCAATGCCGGGGCCCTCGCCGGTCCGCCTCCTTGGCGCTGCCGTCGGGCGGGAAGGCGCCCAGCAGCCCGTCTTCCTTGGTGAACCCCAGGATAGCCTCGATGCTGTGAAGCCTCGACGGGTTTCCCCCGGGGCTCCGCGCCGCCGGGGCGGCCAGCGAGAAGGCGCCCTCGGCCATGGCGGGCAGGGCGCCGGGCGGGTGCATGAGGCGGCCGGCCCGGGGCTCCGCCGCGCCGCTGCGGTCTTACCCGGCCTCAGGGCGGCGCGGGCAAGTCTGGCACGGTGTCGCCGGGCGGGCTGGCCTCCTTGGGGCGGGGGAGGAGTGCCAGGGGGCGGTAGGCGAGAGGGAAGGCGAGGCCCCTGCATCTCTTCGGCGTGGAGGGGGAGGCAGGGCATCCCCCCGCCCCCCGCCGCCCGCCCCGCCCCTCCCCGCCGGCTCCGGACCCGGCCCCAGTCCCAGCCCCAGGCGGCGCCGGGCGATGCCATCCGGAGAGCCCGAGGCGGAGCGGGGCGGCCTCCGCTGCAGCCGGGGGCTGGCCCGGGCCGAGCGCCGCGGTCGGAGCCCCGGGGCAGGGGCAGCGCTGTCTGAAATCGCGGTGGGACGGGCGGCGAGAGGCGCGCCGGGCACGGGGGGACAGAGCCGGGACGGCGAGAGCCGCGGCAGCCGCTGCCGGGGGCGCGGTAAAGGGGACTCAGCGAACGGGAAGGGAAGGGGCGGGAGCCCGGAGGTGCCCGGCCGGAGGACAGCGGGTCCCTGGTATGGCCCCGCGCTGTTCGGCGGCTCTCGGAGCCTGGCCGCTTTTCTCTTGTCCGACGGCCTCAGCCCAGATCCTCCCGGACGGTTTGTAGGTGCGTCGGTTTCACGGCGGCCGCTCGAAAGCTGCCCTGCGGGACGATCCGCGGTCCCGGCCCGACTCTGCGGGACACTGCGCCCTGTTGCCTCCAAAGGCATTTCACAGACCAGGTGCTTCTGGGCAGGATAGACGCAGAAGGTGGGTTCAGCATTTCAGACTTCACAAACCCGAGGGAGCACTAAGCAATATTTGCGAAGAAGTTTTCAAGTATGCCACAGAGTATTTTCAAGTATGCCGCTTCTCACAGAGCCTGTGAGAAGAGCTGATTCGGTGACCCTGTGCTCCACGGTGTGAGTGCGGCTGGCGGGGTAGCAGGCAGGGCATAGCTTCATGGGGGATGCAGAGAGTGTTTTTGGAGGTGAGGCAGGGAGCCAAATCCCACACATTTCTCTTTGTACTTGGCTTGGTGGAAGGCGTGGACCTACCACAGGACCTACCGGTAACAGCATCACGTCTCCTGCATCGATCTTTTCCCTGCTTTTTTCTTTCTGTCATTTTCATACTAGCATTTCCCAGTTCCTCTGAGGCACCAGCTACCTTTTGTCCCAGCTTGTTTATGTGACAAACCCAGTAACATCCAGAGTGGTTTTCAGTCTACACTTAGCTTTGGGGATGCTTCCATTTGAAGCCTGAGGAGAGTGTATGTGAAAGAGAAACACCACTGCTACTCCTTGTTCTTCCAGATGTGTTAGCTAGTCTGATAAGTATGACCTCTCTCAATAAATCTGCATTTTTTTAGTTCTCCTTCTGCCCCAACAGGCTCCATATCATGTAGATTTTTTTCAGAGGAATCACTTCAAAGATTGGCAGTGCTTGCTTCTGCCATCATCCATACCTTTTGCAGGTTTATGTTCTGGTGTCCCAAAGTAGATTTCTTTTAGGAGTGCACAACTTTTCCTAGCTTCAGGGGAGGTTTGCCTTCACTGACTGCTTGGGGGTTGGTTTGAGGCCGAAAGAACTCAGACATCCGTTTGCACAGAGGGAAGAGGCCAACAGAAGAGACAAGAAAAGGTTAGTGTGGCTTTTGTGGACACTACAAAAAGCCAGTCAATACCATTGTAGGGACATTGGAGGGTACTCAAAGCAATCAGCCAGGGGCCATTGTGTTCCTTTAATCTACATGTGTGTTTCCCAGGAACTCTATTAGTGAAGATGAATGAACTGTGCAATGTCCCTAATTTCTTCTAATTTGAAGCTGGGGGTTTACAGCACTCAAAATCAGCACAAAACACACCTGTCCCTCCAGAAGTCCTGGGCAAAATTAGGAATCAGTTTTGCTTGTAGTTGAGAAAGATAGGAATGTGAGATGAAGGAGCAAAAACCCTTTAGTCAGTGCCATAAAGGGCATTAGATCCTGGCAGAGATGCTGCTTTTGGGGTACCTGTCAAAGTGGTCAGTTACAGAGTCAATACTCGATTTTTTGCTGTTAATCACAATATGAAGGCAGAAAAAAAGTCTTCTAGCCCTGGAGCACGGTGTTTGCGTCCCACACAGGACACAAGAGACCTTCCTCCCTGACAGAGAAGGCTCCTCTTTCCTCAGCAGTAGAATATTCCACTTGTGTTTTCCATGTGGAGCTATATTTGTCACTGTAGCATCCTCCTTGCAGGCGAGTGGAATTGTTGAAAGAGGAAGCCACTCCTTTGATCCCGATTTGAAAAAGTACCTGAAAAAAACCCCATAACCCTGTAGCAGAGCAGAGAGAACTCTGACTCTTCCAGCTCTAGATCTGTCTTTTCTCTCTTGCCATGCTTCAGGCACAGACTGTGTGACATGCATGAGGCATCACAGTGCTCCAGAGAGGGAAGAAGTCTAATGGTTCCTCTGATTGCACAGAGGGTTTAGATAGGCAAAGAATGGTAACTGAACTTTTTCCTTTGGGTCTGATGTCCTGGCTGTCAGTTGAATTGCTTGTAGCCCTCTGGGATTTGTATCGTATTAGTATGAAGCCTCAGAAACCGATCCTGTGGTACATCCCAGCTTTGCAAAGACCTTTGACCTTTGGAAACTTGTGGGGGCACCCAGAATCAAATTTGAGAGTATTCGTTCTCTCTCGAGGTAGGGTTTGTTACTTGCCTTTCCAAGTGGTATCCCCATTTCATCACCTTTTTTATTTTTCTTTTGCAACGCATTATTAAAATTTCTGCTGAAGTTATGCTCGGAAAGTAACAGAAGTTCTCAAGATGGCCCATCTGTAAAGTGCAGCTGTATGCTGTACCTCCTTCCTGTACATGTATAGTGAAGACTAAAGGGAAATAGTTTTCATCCTGTAGTCAGTGCTGAGACATATGCATGGGATGTGGTTTCACACAATGAAATCAGCATCATAAAATGCCACAGGTTCCGCCTTCCTTTTCTCCTGCCTTTTCTTTATGTCCAGGTGAAATAATTGCTGCCTTGCAGGGCAGAGATTTGAAGCTGAAGTCACACTGCAGGAGAGACATCACTCTCCAGACCAAAGATGTGCAACAGGGGGGACCTCCCTGAAAGACAAATGGGGCTTTCACAGTCAGACTGCAAATCAACAAGAGGGAAGCAAGGAAAAGGAGGAAATATTCACCTAGAGCAAACCTGTATCCTCCTGCAGTTTGCATGCTCTGTATCATCCAGGAGATTGTTAAAAACAACCCCAAAAATGGAATTTTTCCTCCCCAAAAATTCCTAAGGGTGCAGTTTCAGAACCTTCTTGAAAGCATAATGCATGAGGAAGCTGCTGTCTCCTCCTGTCACTGTATCACTCACACTTTTGTTGTTTTTCTGCTGAGACTTTTCTTGATCTGTCCAGGAGAATCAGCTGTGTTTTCTCCACCTCCCAGAGTCCTGTCTGGCACCCAGGAGTTGCACAGAGATCTTGTTGTCCTGCTGTCTGTCCAGGTTGTGGGTGTGGAATAGGCTCTGGGAACCAGGCAGCCCTTTCTGGTGGGAGCACCATGGACTGGGTGCAAGAGCGCTGGCATTTGGGCTTGCCATGCTCATAGGGAGGGAGGGGAGGTTCATGCTATAAGGCTATATTAACGCAATCCTTCTTTACTTGTTTTCCAATTAGCCTAATTGAATTCAGATTGCTTAAGAGTGGGCACTAGAGACATTTATCTTGATGGGATGACGGTCTTGAGCTCCAGCGATCCTATTAACTCTAAGAACCCAAATCCCAGGTAGGGTCGGTGCAGCAGTAGCTGCCATGTGACCTAACCCTTTAATCTGCTCCTGACAAAGACACATGGACACACAGACATGTCCCTGTCCATTCTCACACGTGCATAGCTGCATGCATGCGCGTACATGTGCATTTGTGCACGGATATGGACACAAACATTCCCAGACTCACATACCAGCACATGCAGTGGCTGCCCTGTGACCTGTCCCCAGAGCTAAGCACCTTGAGAGCTGCATGTACCTGGGGTGGCCTCACCACCTCCTACTCGTGCTTCCCCAGGCCTGTGGCTAGCAGCTGAAGATGGGAACAGCCGGTGCTGGAGGGATGAGCCCTGCAGGTGCTGCCAGGAGCAGGCAGCCACCTCCAGCGAGCCGAAGATCAGGCTCCTCTTGAGGGCAGCACAGATTTGCCCCCCCTACCCTGGCTCTGCCACTCCAGACTAAATGTGGGAGCTCTGGTCTAACACTGGTGCCTAAGGCAGCTCACTCCTGTACCCGCAGCACTTCAGTGGGGGTGGGCTCCCATCCTGTGCCAGTCCCAAGCCACCTCCCAGTCCTGCTTGTCTCTGCCAGCCCTGACACTTTTTTTGGAGTCTCATTAATCGTTTGTTTGGTGATTCTGACTGTACTTTCTTCTCTGACCCTTTAAACTGTGAAAATGCTGATCCTATATCTGCTGACAAATATAATTAGATCCTTTAAAGCACCAGATGCTTTCAGTAAGATTTTTGGGAAGTTCCAAGCACATTTTAATTCAAAGGTCAAAATCCTTAGGCTTGTTTATTTTGGTGTTTCATAGATAGGACAATTCAGTCTGTAAAGCAACACAACAGTGTGGAGACACCACCCAGATTTATACCAATGCAGAGGGAAATGCATTGAGCTTCACAAACCTCAGGCTGGTGAACTGAGCTGGTGACTATTTTATTTACTTTATGTGAAGACCTCCTAAAAGAGCTCACTTGTCTTTCCACATAGATAATTAGATTCTGTGGTGCCATGTGAGAGCAGAATCCCAAGAGGAAGAAATAGAATCAGAAGTCTTGGTGGTTTTAGGCAAAATAGCTCTGATGCTTGAGGGACCTGCTGAAGATAAGTTTTGTGCACTAAAGAAATTACCTGTTAGATGAGAGCCATTTAATGCACTAGCACATCCTCTGGAAAGAGCAAGGAAGGTCAGAACTTGTAAATTCTGTGTTTCCTAGGTAAGAACTAAATGAGTAAGAAAAAAAGGTGTATTTTCTTAATGCTGCAATGGGGAAGAAAATAGATAACAGGTTTTCAAGCAAGGGGAGGGGAGAGAGAAAAGACAAAGAGAAAAGGAGGGAAGCAAGCAAGGAAAGCAGGAAAAGAGAAACAAGATAAATCATACTTAGTGCATTTGTTAATTTAAAATTATTATTTTTACTTGGTTGATTGGAGACAGAAAGAGAGAGAGAGAGAGAAAGAGACTTATAAACCTGTAGGAAGGTGCTGCATGTATTCATTTCCAAATTTAATTTCCAGGCTAGTTCCTAGAGAACTTACAAAGCCATTCATGTTATAGAATTCCTTGGGAGTAGCAGCCTGCATGTTCCATAGACACAGGCAGATGTAACATTAGTGAGAGCTATGCCTTTCCTCAGGTGCCCCACCCTGGCATAACCTTCCATGTTTAGCCTTTGATGGAGACAACTCCCAGAATCAGCGTGGGGAGCTGGTTTTAGCCTTGCGCTGGTACCCCCAGCCCCAGAATTTGGCACACAGAGCAGACAAGCAGAGTCATTGCTGTCCCTTGATGTTTGAAGTGTCTTTGAGAGGCTGGGAAATGAAAGCAGACTGGAGAAGCCTGCACTGCTCCAGAGCAGGGCTCACTGAGAGCCACCAAGCCTTACTTTCCTACAAGTCCCCACGCAGTGCATATGACAACATTTTTGACCCAAGCTGTTGAGTTACATGCTTCACTTTTTGCCTTTGCTACACTTAATACAGAGATGATTTTAAAAGTCAAGGTTTTGCAGCAGATGTCAATATCTGAACACTGTGTTTGCCTCAAGATGCTTGAAACAGACATGTTTTTAAAAGAAATATGTGTTTATTTCTGAAAGCAGGATTAAATGAGCTGTTACCTCTATGTGATGTATCAGAAGTACAATTTTGTTCAAACATACACATTTAATAGCATTCAGTCATGTGGAAAAAATGGAAAAAGGCACATTTTTTTTCCCAATATTAACTTTTATAAAGCCATTTTTTTTCCATGGGGGAAAAAGTTATGTTCAAAACTGAGGATCAATTCTAACTTCCTTTTAGGCTGTCCCAGCAGGTAAAATTTTACTCTCCCCTGAGGGTTTTAAGTCTCTCTCTCATCACTTTTCTATATTTACACTGAATGCTATAGAGCTAAGTGCTTCCCTCTGCCTGCTCTCCCTCTGCATCCCCAGCAACACAAGACTGAAGGTACAGCCTTTGGGCAGTGGTGGCTGTTCTACATCATGGAACATTTCTGCTCAGCTGCCTGTTTCATCTCAGTGAAGGTGGCCTGTGCCTTTTCTTTGATGGCATCCATGTCCATATTCTGGATGTTCTGCAGCTGGCCCAGGATAGAGTCCTTGTCTTCTTCCTCCTCCTGATCTTCTGCCACCATCTTCTGAAGGTCTTCTGGCAATCCCACATCATCTCCAGCCATCTGTATTTGATTCTCATCCAATTCACTCTAAAGCAGGAAACAAAACCAACAGATGAGAGTATTTCTGCCTCTTTCCAGGATCTACCAGTGAGCCTCTTGTTTTGATTTTTTTAGGTTTTTAGGGAGAGCCAAAACATGCACAGATTTTTCAGTCAATTTTTTTTTTTTTTTTTTTTTTTTTTGTGTGCAGCTTGTAAATTCAGGGCCTCAATCAGCCTCCATGAAAGTTCTAAGATTTTTCAGGCAATGTCAATTATATTTCTTTGAAGGGATTCAGCACTGTCAAAACTGAAGCCCTCAGTGTCACTTGCCGTTTTAGAAATCTTTGCCATGCTGATGGGGCAGGAATTCCATTCCAAGTTATTTGTAGCCCCCAAAACCATGCTGCAGGACACTATCGAGCCTGTCAGCCGTTGTGCTGTGCCTGTCAGCTTCTGGTCAATGAAACAAGAGCTTCAGAAGAGCTGCGGCACCATTTCCTTATTCCATGGTTGGGCGCGGCGGGGTGGGTGGGGGGGATTTTTAGATATCAGCACTAAACTGAAGCCTTCTGGAAGAAAGATGAATGAATGACTGGAAAAAGGGTCCCCCATCTTCCCAAACCATGTCCAAACTCTGTCTAGGTCTTTGGTTGGCCTCTCTGGGTTGTGGTGAAGAGCAGGGGCTGCCTGGCACATAATCAGTGTTGCGGTGCTGCTATGTGGGGTAATAAGAGGACTTGGGCAACAAAAGAGAGGAGGGAGGTTGGTTGTGAGTCTGGGAAAGCAGAAGGAGACAGGAGAAGAAACTGGTTAAGCAATTAAAAGGGCTGAGATGCAGTAAGCACTACACACACTTGTTTCCTGCCTGCCCACTGAAATACACCATCAGTGGGATTATGTCAATTTTTCAAACAATGGTGATTTTGTTCACATTTTCTGGTGGATTCTGATGGATCCAGAGCTCAGAAGAACAGGATATTTCGACACAGTTCAGACATCAAAGATAAGCATTAATGCCTCATTACATCTCCAAAATTAACCATGACAGCAGCAAAGGCCTGATATGAATAAGCAGCAATGCTATCAGCAGGAGGTGTTTTTTAGAGTGAGGGGTATGGCTTTTGCATGAATGAAAGGACCAATGAATGCAAGAACATATATGAGCAATGTCTATGGTTTGCAGGCCTTAGCAAGGACAGGCAGGCTGGGGGTGGTCAGCTGCATAACCACTATTTACAGTTCCATATTTCCACACTTTATGTTTGCAATGACTCTACTTCCCTTTAATCTGATTTTCCCCCATATCTCCTGTGAAACTGTAGGGAGCTCTAGCAGGATTGTTACTGCTATGTGGAAAAAATGGGTGAAGACATCTCTTCACCTTTTTAGTAAGGGTTGCTGGAGTCAGATCTGTGGGAGCTAGAAACAATCTCCTGAAGAGGTATTTTTTATGGATTGTGTAGCAGGAAAAATTGTTTTATGCTTTTATTCAGCAACTGATGGCTATCAGAGGAGTTAACCCTTTCAAAATCCTCATCAGTCAGTAGCGATAGAGGATAATAAAAAAATGTTAATTACTGAAAAAGTGCCCCTAATCAGACAATCACACATGCTCTTTAAAATTATTTATAATTTAATCACTGTAGTGATTCACATCTTTGGCAATGTGAACAATTTTCTGGCATGTTCTTGCACCAAAGTCCACTGTCCTATGGAAGTCTGGGATGTGATGTGCAACAGTTTGGGGCTTCAAAGGGTTCTCTGGCCAAAAAAGAATATATTGAGATATAGTCTAAAGCAGTACAATTCTGCCCAAGCTACCTGCCTCTACCCACTTGACATTTATTTTTAATAGACCTACAATGAGCTTCAACAGGGTGTGGTTGCTCAAGAAGCAGCAAAGAAGCACATGATGCACGTATGGCCTCTTCAGTTCCTTCTAGAATTTGAGTGTTTGATTCTTGTTTACTTTGATTTGAAATGGAAAAGTGAACACAGAAGCAACATCTCTTTTACTAAATTAAATATGCCTGGCACGGTCTCTTGCCCCAAGGCCAGCTGGCCTGGAAAAACCCACTGGGATGCTATTGAACTCTGCACCCTTCCAAACAGGGTGGTCCCATCTAACTGCCGATTGGGAATGCCTGTCCTAACTCCCAAACTGGCCGTGGGAATTGCTTGGGAGAGTGCCCAGGCCAAAACTGGGTCAGACATTATTCTGACAATTCAACAGCATAGGCGATAGAGTCTGAGTGCATGGTAATACTTTTTCACCCTGATTATGCCTCTGATGTAGTCAGTCCCAGATCTATTTTGCTATAGATGCAATAGAGTTCTTTACATATACAACAATACACAGGTGTGAGCAGAAAACTGGCTAAATATCTGCTTTGTTACAATTTGACAGTAAAGTCCTCTGCCCAAATTAAGGTGCACGGGTCCAGTTCAAGCATACCAACTTTATTTTGTAGCATGAAGTGTGTACAGAAATGAGAAAAAAGGTGAATGAGAGAGGGAGAAGGATTAAGATAGTGCAAGCAGGAGATGGTCACCATCTGATATCCCAGGGGAAATTCTTTCTCTGGCTCCCACAGGTAAAGGATACAGTTTAACATTAGACAGCTCCATGTCCACTGGGCAGGAAAAGCAATGGCCCTCAGGGAGAGAGCTTCTTTCACGAAAAAGTTTTGTCAAGCTCCCTCAAAGGAAGACAATGCCCTCCACAAGGGGAGAAGAGCAATCAAAGTTTGGTATTGCTTGTTAAATGGCACTTTCAGTCCTCTGAACAATGATGGTAAAGTCTTCTGTGCAGCTTAAGGAGCAAAGAACACCAAATGCTGGTTCAACGCTGCTTGTATGAAGTCTACTTGTAAACAAAACAGATCAAAGCTCACAGACTAATCCACAAGGGAACCAAACTCTTTTCCAGCATCCCTGTGTGATGTACTGCTTTACTTATGCCTAGCTTATCCTGTCATAACATTTACCTATGCTAATGTGCAGAGATCCTTAGGTAGCTGACTCCAGACCTCATCCTGTGATTCATCACCTATAATGCACCAGTAACATACAAAATCACAGTTCACCTTGCCTTGACCTGCGGGTGGGACTTAAATTAGCAACACAGCAGCAGCACCGTCCTTTTGCCACTGAAGGGCTGCAAGTACCTCACAAGTAGGTACAAGGAGTCAAATGTTGGTACCACCAGCCGTCCTCCCCGGAAACACCCTCAGAGAATCCAGAGATCACAGCTTGGAGCACAGAGCTGGTGAGCAGTGCAGAGCAGTGGGGACTGCTCCTTCCTGACATCTGCATTGGGGCTCCATTTTCCACCATCAAATCATGCTCCTGTGTTTAGACCTTGCAGAAATTAATTGATTACTGAATCCCAGTTCAGGAAAAAGGCAGCAAGTGGATAAGATAATTTGGTGAGGTTTTTTTTTAATTATTATTAAAATATTAATGTCTGTATTTATATAATATTTTAAAATGTTTTGTATTAATGTGATGCACTGAATATGCCAAAGATGAAAAAGTTGTCCATAGATCAAATGTCTCATGGCTAAAAACATCTTTCTGATGACAAACCTAAGTTGACAACTCTGTTAATAGGATTAGGTTCATTAAGGGTCTACTTTCTCTTATAAATCTGGCCCAGATAGCATGGAGCTTTAGATTTTATGTGGCAAAGGGGGGCCCTGCTTAGTCCTGAATTCCATGTTTTTACTTAAAATGCTTGCTAGTGATTGATATTGGTAATATTCAGTGTTTCTAGACTATACTAGGCTACCTGAAATTACTTTCAATTTTCAAAATATTTAATGCATTATCACAAGCCTGAGAGCATTTTTTGCCAGAATGTTGTATTACAGCACTGATTTTTTTTTTCAGGGACACATTAGCATGTATGTAGTAGTTTCATTCTCTTCCTGCTATAACACGTTTTCATAAGGGCTGATGAAAACCAAGAAATGCTGTATAGAGAGAAACAAATGCAGGAAAACGTATCCTGCAATATTGTTTTCTGGCTTAGAGCTACTCTCCTACCTTGGAGACAAATCTTCTATTGTTATTACTGAAATATGGCCCCAGAGAGCACAAGATCCTACTGGAGATGGGTCAGATCACCACTGCATACTTGTGTGTCTATGAGGTGCTCAGCCAAGGGAGACTGGTGACCTGGACACCATCTCCAGCTGTAAAAACCACTGCAAGTGGGAGAATTTGAAAACCGGAGATACCCAGCTCCACTGATGTTTAGTTGAGATGTGGACATTCAAGTATCCTGGAGCTTTCCAAAGCAGCCCCTCTTGGGGCTGAAAGCTGTGGCAAGACGCTGGGTAAATGCTGTTCAGGAGCTGTCTCAGCCTATGCCTCCAAAAGGAAAGCAAAGCCTAATGATATTTTACTCCTCAGCTGCTAATTTAAATGCTGGTGTTTAGAGACTTAGGCCTCCAATCCAATAAATCACTTAAAATCTTGGACTTAATTTTTTTGCATAATTAATCTTTCTGTAATTAAACTCACCCTCAGGGTATGTTGTCCAGCTAGAGCACCAGAGGAACCAGGCTCTTAGGGGTGGAATGCATCTTACCTGAGTTCAGATGCTGCCTGGCTTCCCTCTGGAAGAGACACAGCCACTGGGAGGTGACCCAGCTCCACCTTGAATGCTTATTTAAAAGTTTGGCTAGATGAGGCCACAGGTGCTGGTCTCTTTCTGTTGATGATAAGTCCCTAAATGACTTGCTTGGATTAAGCACTACATGTTTTAGCAGCTAAATTTATAGGAGATAGATTCTTTACCTTCCTCCATTTTAATTAATCAAAAAAACATGGGAAAGTACTGATCAGAAAATGAGTGGTAATGACTCGTAGCTGACAGGTCACTAATACAAATAAACTCTCAAATTGCTAAGAACCACATATCCTTGAGGGGTATAAATGAAATATGCCAACATCTTCCCAGTAGTGACAGGTCAGAGCAAATTTGTGATCCAAACCCCTGGGGAAGAGTACTCTGTCCTGTATTACCTCTCTGCTGCCCATGGCAGAAGCCTACAAAATACCACAATCATTTAAAAATTATTTGAAATAAGTTGCTTGAAGATTTTGCTTTCAATATTTTGGTTTTCCTGGAAATATTTGACAGTGCCAAGATCACTAAAGAAAAAGGAATGGACAGTTTAAAATTGGTTGAAATTTGGCCTCTGGGCTAGATGAGCTCATGAGCTACAGGCTTACCTTGGGCAGTCTGTACTTTTCTCTCAGGTGAACCCTCAGAACAGCTCGCTCTGCTTTTTTCTGTGCAAATGCTGCATCTCTTTCCATCCTGGAAATCAGAAAAAATATTTCTTCAAGATGCTAACAAAAACAACCTTTTGCACTAAACCAGTTGCTTGGCTGCAAAAAGCTACACAAGGGAGTTATTCCCCAAGATAAGTAACTTGTCCAAAGGCAAAAAAGGAGCAATACCAATATAGTGATGCCAAGGGGACACACTTCCTGTGCTTCTGTCACCTGTGAATTTTCCTGGTCTTTCTTTGTGCATTAATTGTTTCATAAGAGGAATGAATTCTGAAGCTTCTCTGTATGGAAGAGCACTGACTTCATCTGTGATTTTATAAAATGTTTTCATTAGATTTAAGAACTGGTATGCACTTTTTTTTTTTTTTTTTTTTTTTTAGATTACACATGCATTTATCTGCAAAATGTGTCTCCTCAAATATTTTTGGTAACATTTGATGACACTCATCTTTCACCCCCCTCTCCCTTTAATTTCTTTTTTCCCCGGTAGCATTTTCATGGAAGTTCTATTGCAAAGTTGATCTTGTTTCAGTATAGGTATTTTGGCACGTAAAAGATACTTCCAAAATGAAATATTACTTTTCCTCTGCTTCCAAAATGAGTGCTTGCATTTCTCTCCCTCCAAAAACAAAACCCCCACAAACAAACCTAAAATCTGAGAAGTAACCAAAGCCTGGTTGTTTATGGGTTCAAAACTGCCTGAGCACAAGTTCAGCAAGGCATATTTATTTTTCTGGTCTCCACTCCTGTGCAGCTGAACACTGGGCAAAATCCATGGAGCCCTGAAACAGGAGCATGCTCTGCCCATGTCAGAGATTTCTGACACAGCACCACATCTCATCCAGAGGTGATCTTTTCATTTAGAGTTTCTAAGTGTCCTATAGGGTATTCCTGCCCTGCTTCCTCAGTACAGTTCAACAGGGAAAGGACACTTGCCCCACTTAAAAACAGTATAGAAGTAATTCTTTTCCTAGGTATTTCCCTATCCCAGGAATCCTGTGTTTCTTCTCAGTCTCCATAAAGCATCTTCCTGCCAGCAGGTGGACATTTCTCTTTTAGATATCACTTGACAAAAGGAGGAGCAAAACATTCTGTGCTTTTTTTCCGGACCAAATTAGACCTCTTCAGGTCTTCCTGATTGAAATGTCTGATGCTAAATACAGACCTGGATACCTCAAATTCCATCAGTCATTAACCTGGCACCTATAATCATCTTACAAGAAGGATTTACGCAACCATTATGTAATTGACCATTAGAGGAACAGATGCATTTGAGATTTAAAAGTCAATAGTTTTATTTATAATTATGCATGGTTTGAACTCCTACACACACCAAATCTTCCATTTTACTTGTTTTCATAAACACAGCAAGTGATAAAGATTGTCTTTACAGACAAAATTGAGACTTAATTGATTTTAAAGTTCTGCTTTATTTAGTAGATTAAAAAAAAAAAACAAAAAACAAAAACATCTTAAACCTTTGCTCAAGATAAATGAGCACTCGGTACTTTTTCAGGTCTGCCATAATAAATGTGGACAGTGAAATATTACATATTGAAAGTGTACTCCACGTAGAGTTCTAGAACAAATCATACACATTACAGAATTAAATCCTGCACTACAAACATCTTGGGAAATTTTTCTAGATAAAGTAACATCACCTAGGAATGAGTCCAGCATATCAAGCATATCAGCATATCTCCTGCTGGAGATAGCAGGAAAGCATAGGAGAGAGTTGCAAGATTGGGGGAGGGGGGGCAGGAAGAGGGAATGTCATATTTTACCATTTCCAGTTGGGGAACTTTTCTTTTGGAAAGTCTTTCTAGCAAAGATTCATCTGCTTTTTAAAAAAATAGTGAAGAGCAGCATGTTTCCCTTCTTCTTGGGCTATTTTTATTTGCACAAAGTTACCAAGAATCAGCCCCATACTCATAATAAGGGAACAGGTACTCACTTCTCCTCAACCATTTGCTTTTGATATTCCTCATACTCCTCTCTGGTCATTCCTGCAGCTGCTGCTGGATCAGAAGGAGTGCTTTCTTCTTTGCTTTCTTCCCCTCCACCTCCAAGTCCCAAATTCTTTACCTGGTTGCTCAACATACTTTTCATTAGAAAGGCCATCTTCTCAAAAAAGAAAAAAAAAAAAGAAAAAAAAAAAAAAAAGAAAGGAACTATAAGAAAACAACTACAAGAAAGCCAAACAAAAAATGTTTTCAAACACAACAGTTGTATGTGAGAGAGTTTCTGCAGGCACATCAGCTCTTCAAGGGCACAGTGCTAGTGAAACGTGAATGCCAAAACCAGTTTGTCAGCCATAATCTGGATTAAAGAAAGAACTCCTTAATATATAGAGGCAGATGGTTCAGATTACTCCAAAAAAATCATTAGATGCAACTACCTACTTTTCCATTAATACTTTAAGCTAATTGTACACACACACAAATCAATTGTAGTGTGCAATAGCATTTTAATATCTTCAGTCTTGAAGTTTGCTCTCACTTTCTCAGAGATCACAGCATTCCCTGGATCTGAATTTAAAACCTGCTTGACTCAATAGCCATAGTAAAATAGCAAAATTCAAGCTACTGAGTGGAAAACCCTCTGATAGGAGATTTGAAAACTTGAATTCTTCATTAGGCAAAACCCCTTATTCTTTTTATCCATTAATATTTTATCCCGCTGGACAGAAATATTTTGTGTGTTTTTTTTTCAGCCCCTCTTAATATGGTTGGTTTATCTTGCAGATGAATGAGGCATCAGTGTTACAGTTGCTTTATTTCAAGAAAGTAACCCCAAAGAAAGCAAGTCAGATCTTCCTAGTGTTCTTCCTTTGAGTTTCTGTCAGCTCTTCCCCAGGCTGTCTCAATCTAGACCCCTGCTTTGGTGCTGCATAAAACACCTGCTGTTTGTTATCCTAACTGCTGATAAAGGATGACTAAATCTGAGTCTGTATGCCAGAAAAAAGTATGGATACCTTCTGGGTCTAGATTGTTTCTGTTGGTCCTTATCTTTCTAACCTTTAGTCACTTCATTAGCCTCACCAGCTCTACTCAAGTGAAGATTTCCAGGATCTGCTACCTAGATCATAGACTATTCTGAGAAAGAAAATCACCTGCTAGGTTTCCCAAGTTCATGAGTTTGGGTTTTGAGCATTTTCCTACTGCACTGACTGCACATGCCTTAATGCAACATTCTGAAATTTTGATTATCTAAATGGTTCTCCCAGCACTCTCATAATTTCAGTGAGAATTGAGAGATGGGAGGATTCCAGTTTGCCTAATGCTTTAATCTATATTATAGCCTTTCTAATTAAAGCAGACCTATTACTATTTAAAAAACAAAACCAAAAGCAAAAGCAAAACAAAAAACAACACCACAAAAAACCCCAGCAAAAATCCCCAAAAAACAAAACAAAAGAAAAAAACCCCAAACCAAAACAACAAGGAAAAAACCACCACAGGACATTCTGAAATCCTGGATTATTAGCGACTCAACAAGAAACTCTTTCTTTTTGAAACTGTCACTCAAATAATGAATTCCGAATAACAGCTACTTCATCTTTATTTAAAATTCTCCTAGCTGGAACTTTGCAAACACTGATTTTTCCAATGTTTGGTCTCAAGGGTCTTCTCCAAGTGTATGGAAAGTGGTACCTGTTAAGCTTTGTGCTGTTGGTCTTTACTGAAAAGAAGGTTCCCTGACTTTTCTGTAGGCTTTGATCCCTCTAGAAATGTTTCTAACATAATTTTGTGCCTAGAAGTGATGCCTTCACAGGACAGAGAAAGGCGAGGACTGGCTTGCGGAGGGACTGCTAAGAGGTCTTGCCCTCCAGCTCTCAACCTTACAATCAGCAAAAGGCTTTCCCATGTCAGTTTTGAGATAACAAAAGATAACAAAAAGGGCTTTAAAAGTTATCGGGCCTGTTGGCACTGAAGCTGCTGAGGAACACAGGAGAGGCTGGTGACAAAAGGCACAACTCACCCCACAGTAATTCTGTTCAAGGCAGGTGCTCTATTGCACTGTAGAAACTTACTGCTTTTTGTTGATGACAGGAATCACAGACTTCATGAAAACATACAAAACAGCCGCTAATTAAGTACTCATGTTGTCACTTCCTTTGCTTTAAATCCAGGTCTTTTCCTTCTAGCTTAAGTGAAATCAAAATTAAAGACTTTGCTCCTGTTTTATCTGATGAAAGTGGGTGATACATAAAAGCCTGTGTTCCACACCCAAGGAACACCCAGATCTCTAACCGAAGCACAGAATTCAGTCTCAAAACAGGCAAATTCCAGAGGGAGGCCAGCCCAAAAATGCCACCCAAACTCCCAATCTTTTCTAGATTCTGTGCTCCTATCAGTCACATAATGCAAAAACACTTAGGTGCTCTTGAAAGAACCAGGACTCTGCCCCCTAATTCATCCCTCTACCAAGAGGATTCTGCCTTTTCTAGCAGCTGGAAATTAGAAAGAAGTATTTTAGGGTTTTGTCAGCTAGAATAGATTAAATTCAAGATTCCTGTCCTCCACTTGCTAAAAAACTTTCTCCTGGCTGGGGAAAAGTGACAGTCACAGAGGGAATTCAGACTCAAAATGCCATTACTCCCCAGTGTTAGGTAGAACTAAACTCAGATCTCTGCATGTTCTGACTCTGAACCGAGGGTAAAGAATGCTTCAAATACACTTGCTAGATTTCATGTACCAAACGAAAAGAAAAAGGCTTACTAAAAATATGTACCTTTATTCAAACAAGGTTATCTCTGAACTGCAAGTATCAATTTACATCAGTCAGAAAAAAACAAGAAACTGTCAGCTGTTTGAATTTAAAATAATTTTTTTAAAAAGTTGACATTTTTTGCTGTTACAGTCATTGATCATTGAGAAAGGTCGGATTTTCTTCCCACAGAAGTTACAAACCAGAGCAATTAATTTACAAACCGAAAAGCAGGTCATTTACAAACTGTACTGTGCATTTGACTTGTGAAAGATTCAGGGGTGACCACTGTTTAATAAACCCCCACTGGTACAATCCTATTATCTTGTCATTGCCAAATATTTGCACTTATTATCCACAACTCAAATAGAACTTGTTCTCCCTAATACTGTCCAACTGCATTCCCTGTCTTTTCCTCCTATCTGTGAAATCTTACTGGATAAGAATCAAACACATTGTCACTGCTCAAAGACACCTAGAAGGAGGCTACATTGACTGAAAAACATTCTTAGAATCCTAATTTGTTGCTATCACTTCAAGAACAGACAGGACGAAATTCGAGCTGGGCATCTGGGAGTTTTCTTTTGATCCAGTGAGTCAAGGAAGCTCCAAGGGGAGACAGCTGTGAAATGAATCATGAAGAAAAGTTACCAGTTTTCTGGTGTTCCATATTAGACCTTCTGTTCCCTACCTCAGAAGTTTTCGCATTGCATGTGGGAGACATGTCTGATCCAGCAGCCTCCTCCTGAAGAGAAAACTGTAGGCTTCAAGTTTCCTTCTAGACATCACCCCCAACCTGCTCTTCTTTCTAACCAAACAAACAGAAGCATGGGCTGCTCCAGCTTTAAATCAAAGGAATGGGTGGGTAAATTCACAGTAAGAAAAATCCAGGCTCATTCCAATGGACGCATCAGATCTGCTCCTCATTCTGCCACATATGTATCAAAATACTTTCTGCATGAGGGGTTTTGCAAAGCCTGCTGTGAAAGGAGTTCTGTTTGGATGTTGCACAGATGCAAGAAAGTCTGCAACTGAAAGGAAGCACCACTGTACACTTTCAGAACCATTTAAGAAAATATATTAAGTTTCATTACAAGAGTCCGGGTTGTAATAGCTTAGACTCAAGGCACCTGGAAATATTTGCTGGTGTTGAAAGAACTGAAGAGATAAATTCCAATAGGTTATTCTGCTTTATCTGAAAAGTTGTTTATTCACGGATCATCCTGAGGCAGTAGGATCTCATTAGTACAGCAAAATCTGCTCAAATTTAGAAATGAATCTATAAAGCTAGACCACTTGGAATATCCTCCATACTGCAGATGTGTTAATTGGTGTGTAGTAAGTGTCATTTTCTTAGTATAGCACAGACATTCACTTTTTGGACACTGTACTTAAAGTAACAAAATATATTGCATAGATTTATCATTTCTCCAAATTGACAGGCACGATACTGAAGTGTTCTCATTACAGTGAATTTGGCAGCATGTGTTGCACTCCAAGGGAGCAGACTGCAGAAATGCAACAGGAGTAGTCATATTACAGATAATTTTGGCAGATTCAGACAAACAAATTAACAGTTCTAAGTGAAATATCCTGATGCATTTGTGTATTTTACAGAATTTAGGAAACCACAGAACACTTATTCGAATTCTACATACAACTCAAGGACAAAGTCACCACAGATATGTAAACATGGCAAAATTAATTCATTTCACATTCCTAAGCTGGGCCCTCTGCTTTCTTTCTTTCCTGAAGCAAATGTTCACTTGATAAGCAGTATCAAAATCGCATGTTCAGTCTTATGCTTTTGATATCCAAACAGGAACTGACACAAAATACTGGTTCTACAGATTAACAAACATGTCTGAAGCAAGTTTGTGAAGAAATGGGTTAACATTTCATCAATATTTCATCAACATTTCATCAATAGCTGCAGTTTACAATACTCACCATGTCAAGATTTAAACCAAAGCATCTGTACTTGATACATGAAAGACTCAAGACAGCTTTAGAAAAGTAAAGACAAATTCACACACTAAATATCCTTGATGCAATCAGATTGGAAGATGGATAAAGCAGTCACCTTTGTTGGGAAAGTTCCACAAATCTCCCCAAAAAATTACAGACAGGCTTGAAACCATGAAAAAAGAAATCAGCCCCACAATATACTTGAAGGAACTACTTTATCACATTTTTTCTCACTGCCCAAAATCAAACTGCAAAACAGGGAGAGAAGCCTTTCTTTGCATGTTCTGTATAATTGGTTTTTTACATCAAGTATCAAGAGTCAGGGTCTTAAAGGCCTGTCTTTGTGTCCACATATTAAAAAGTGTTTAAATAAGAACTAACTAAAATATTCTTATACTGTTAAATCCAAGTGGTAAACAAATAAAATGTTTGTAATAAATTTT